GATTTGTGCTGCATGCTGTTTCACAGTTTTACTATCTTTCTTTTCACCATCAGGTGATTGCAGCCATTTTGCAAAGTTAACTAATAAAGCAGGCGCACTACTCTCGTCATCTTCCCACATGGATTCTCCATTTTCCACGATTCCTATACTTTCGCCAACCCCCTCCTGTACATCGACTGCACTCATATCATCAGAACTGAGCCTTGCCCTCTTTGGCAACATAGCTTCTTCAGCAACTTTTCCCCTCGGTCTATTTTTGACTACCTGAACTGAATAGGATCTCTTTTCTTTAAGAAAGCTTTCTTCAGCAGGCTTTTATACTCGTTAGATGAAGGATTAACTCCATGCACTTTTTTTATATGTGCCGTCAACCTTTCTACACAAGCTGAGCACCCTGCCAAAGGAAAGATGAATTTTTTGTGATAATCCTTGTAGACTATTATCGGTTTATCTCCATGGTGTTTTCTCTTCCTATTTCCAGCCTTTGCACTATCTTGACTCTTGAATGTGTACTGTTTCCGCAACTTAAAGTTTGTGACAGCTGCTCGAGACTGAGATAAAGACCAGTGATGAACCTGTTTTAGATGCCTTGAGATATGTACAACTTGCTTTCTACAGTAAGGGACTGGATACTTGAGTCATTTTCACCTTCATCACTGAAAACACCTTCAACAAATTCATTGCATGACTGAAAACACACCTTATCCATCTTCGCGTCTTCATCTTCCCTTTTAGGCACATATTCATAGCCTGACCCACAATCTTCATCCACCTCATCCCTCCCTTTACCTCCCTGTTGCACGAGATCTCCTTAATTTTCTTCACCTTGGCTCACTGCAGGCTCTTGCCATGGCTGGTACATCCAAAAAGGCGTTTTCATCAAATTGGAAACTTCAACCCGATATGAAAAGTGTATGCGGAAACCAACAAATTTTTTTCCACACGCAATAGCCAACTCACAATTTAAGGTGGAAAAAGAGTGAATTGTATGGCGTGTACTAGGCTTCTAAATACCCATATGCTGCAGAAATTTGGTGACTTAGGACCAAAAATTAGACCTTTCTACCGCATAAGGAACGTTTGTGACCTGAATGCAGTTTAGATGATTATGTTACAACTGTTAATGTTGTAACGACAAAATAAGACGAGTAAACGTAACGTCTTCTTTCTTTATTGTTGTTGTTTCAATTACATGTCGCGCGCATTGTGACGTAGTTAAATTACATAATTTATGACACTCTCCCGGGCCGACAACATAAGCTGAAAATATAGTATACATTTATGTGTAAAGAGTAAAAAAAAATGTCTTATATTGTTCCCTTCAATATCAGTGGTTATTCTATTTGTTCCTTGATTCTCTGTGCTGCCTTCTGAGTGGCAAGTCGTAAAGGAGGACCGTTGTATATCATTTTCAGGGGCTTTTTCTATGTTTTTGTTAGTCGGTATGTCTGACATCTCTAACGGATAAAGTTTCTCTATAGGTCGTGATAGTTCCTTTCCAGAAGGTACTCTTAGAGATACAGATCTTGCGAGTCCATCTTTCCCCGTGTGTAGGCTAGTTACCACACCTATTTTCCATTGGTTTCGTGGTGTGTTATCATGTATGAGAACATCTCCAATAGCAACTGCCTTTTTGTTTAATATTCTCTTTCGACAAGTGTGATGTTCTCGCAGACTTGTCAGATATTCAGTTTTCCATCGTGTCCAGAAGGCGTTTATTAGTGTTTTCTGATACTGAGCTCTTTTTATCAGTGCTTTTGTTGACATCTCAGATGGAATATAGTCTGGATCTGCTTCGTTTTCTTTAGCATTCGTGTCTGGTAATGTTAGGAGACGGTATCCACATAAGAAATGTGATGGCGTCAGAGGAGAGGCATCGTTGATGTCTGTGTAAGGGTATGTTAAGGGTCGGCTGTTTAGCACTGCTTCTACTTCAGTAAGTATTGTGTTTAGTTCAATCATGTTTAGGCAGGCTTTCCCTAGAGTTTTCTTTAAACATCTTTTCATTAGACCAATAAGCCGCTCGTAAAATCCTCCCCACCACGGAGCTCTTTCAGTGATGAATTTCCAAGTTATGTTGTGATGAGCGAGGAACTGTTGGGATGAACCTGTTCCAAGAATTTGAGTTTTGATTGTTTGAAGTTCTTGAGCTCCGGCTTTGAAGGTTTTTGCATTGTCTGAAATGATACACTCCGGAACTCCTCGACGGCTTATGAATCGTCTGAATGCTCTAAGGAAAGCATCGGTGGTCTGATCTTCTACCAATTCAAGGAGTATGGCTCTTACTACCGCACATGTGAAAAGACATATGTACATTTTAGATGAGGTTTGATTTGTCTGATCGCGGACATATAGAGGTCCTGCGTAATCGAACCCTGTAAATTGAAATACTAGGGATTGTTGGACTCTTGATTGTGGTAACGGTGGTGTGGGTACAGAGCGAAAGGGTGGTCCTTCGACTTTTTCTTCATGTTACGCACTTTGATATGATTCTTTTTACGAGTTGTCGACCTTGAGGTATCCAATATGTTCGTCTGATGTGAGTAAATGTTTCTCTTACTCCATCATGCATGACCTGCTTATGCATAGAATGGACGATGAGTGTAGTGAAGTAGTTGTCCTTTGGTATGAGGATAGGAAATTTTGTGTCGTGAGGCAGATCTGTATACTGTAGTCTACCACGACAGCGTATGATATCTTCATCGTCAAGATAAAGATCGAGTTATCGTATGATGGCAGGTTGTCTGGATTTGTCTTTGTTCTTCAGGTATGAAATTTCTTGTCTGTAGATTTTATGTTGAGTAGCTTTCAGCAATACATTCCTGTCTTCCACGATATCTTTCGCTGTAAAAGTTTCACTGTATACTTTTCTTTTTCTCCATTTTCTTGCGAAGTTGATAACGCGGGCAGTGACTCTGAGTAGATGGACTAGGGTGCTGTATCTTGTTATGTCAATGATGTGTAGTATATTTGGATCATCTGCGACGTTTGTGACAATTTCCATTTGTAAGCTTTGAAGTGCTTCATGAAATAAATTTTCTCCTTGTAATTCATGCGGTATCTGTAAATTTTTCACCTTAGCCGATAGTGGTGGACAAATAACTGGAGTTACTAGGGCTGTTATTTTGATATTTTCTACTTCTGTTGACAATGTCAGTGCCACAAGGTCGTATGTTTTTCTCCTGCCTTGAAGTGTACCGAATGTCGTCACATCTAAAAGTTCGCTTCCCATTGTTCCTAGTTTAAGTTTGTGTTTCATCTCCTGAGTGATAAAGGTTCTTTGTGATCCTGTGTCAAATAGGATGCGCGCTTGATAGTACTGTTTATTGTTTCCACTTATTTTCGTAACGGCGGACTGCATCAGGATATGAGCTTTAGAAGGGAGTACATGCGTTGCTCCCATGTGGGTTCTGTTCTTCGACACGGAATCCACTGAGAGGTGATCATTCTTCGGCCCTTTGTCTTCCTTTAGTTGACTAGAAACGCTTTGGGTTGTATTTTCTTGGTTTTCATTACAAATTGAAGTGTGGTGTTTTTTCTTACATTTCGTACATCGCCCCTTTGAGAAACATTGAATTTTTGTGTGGTTGAGACCAAGACAGTTAAGGCAGCGCTGTTGGCGCTGAAGTAGGGATCGTCGTTCCTCTACTGTTTTAATCTTGGCGCACTTTTCAGGTCGATGTGTTCCTGCACAGTACGTGCAAGGCCTTGGAGTCTTTTGTTTGGCGTTGTAAGTTCCGTGTCGTTGTTGTGTGATATGATACGATACAGTATGATACGTCGTCTTGGAACGACAACGCCGTTTCTGTGTGTAGTTATATGTCCTCTTCTGTCTCCAAGGACATCACGATTTTGGCATCCATGCGTGCTATTTCTTCGGCTCTTCGCGTGAGCCTGTCTACCAGCGCCTCCAATTCTGCTTGATCTGGAGTCTTCGAAGTTATTAGTTTTTCCGCTCTTTTGAAATCTTGGGTGCAGTGTCCCTTGTATGCTCCTCGGCTGGATCTCCATTTCTTTATTTCTTCTTCGCTCATTATATCTTGTCCGCGCTGGTCACGGCACCAGTGTTACAACTGTTAATGTTGAAACGACAAAATAAGACGAGTAAACGTAACGTCTTCTTTCTTTATTGTTGTTGTTTCAATTACATGTCGCGCGCATTGTGACGTAGTTAAATTTCATAATTTATGACAGTTTATATTGCGTTTTGCTTTGAAAGTCTGGCAAAGATTTTCATAGGGCAGAATGAGAGCACTGTCTAGTTTCAGCAAATGCAAAAACTGGGTCTCAATAGAGATAAAAGGCGATTTTTTTAGCTGAAGAGAGAACAAAGTTACAAAAGTGCCAATCATACCTCTAGGAAGAGAGAGGGAGAGCTAGACGTAAAGGCACTTTTGTAACCTCATTTTGGCACTTATGTAACATAAAGTGGCACCTCTGTAACTCTTGTGGCACTTACGTAACTTATGGCACTACTGTAACCTGGCACTCCTGTAACTTTGTGCCGCTAATGTAACTTTTGTGGCACTTTGTGTAACTTTTGTGGCAGTTCGGTGATGCCTTATTTCTAAAAGGTGTGTTGTCACTTTCCTAAACATATATTTCAGGAGAAAGGAACTGCGTTGTTCCCGTCTTATGAGAAATGGGTGAATGTATTAACGTTGTCAGATATTCCACGGCACTACATTGCATGGCATATTTCATCGTTTAAAGCAAAGGCTTCCTTAACCCATGTAGCAAGGCCAAACTATTGTCTGCAGATTTAATCGCCATAAAAGGACTCCTCAGTATTGCATTGTGCAACCTTACGAGGCAAAATGTTACGCGTCGTTTACCACACGCACATAAAACAAACTGGTGGCCTTTTCTACACGGTTTTGCTTGCACGAGCAGCAAATCATCGTTATTCTCTACAAATAAATTGTGTTAGTGAGGCTTGGTGGTGAATTTTTAGTAAATGACGTCATCAAGCGTAAGGCTTATCTATTACTTCATGAGACTCGTATCATTATTCCAAGACAGAGACGGTTGCCTCTTATGAAATGAAATCCCTTTCGCAATTTAAGTCGTTGAGGTAATATTAAAGTTCATTTCTATTGATCTCGTTTTCTCTTCTGTACACCCACTTTATTGACGCTACTGGCTACACCATCTTTTTACCCCAAATGCAGACAGGGGAGAAAGGAAATGTTCCCATCACAATGTAGATGTCTAGATGGCGCACGCCCTTAAAAAGCGGTTTATAACGTAGCGCTTCATAGTGAGGTCGGAAGGGAGTTACTGACAAACTCAACAAATTATTCTCTACCATCTCGGTTTCCAAAAGTATGAACAACGGTAAAACCGCTTTCACCTCTGGACTACCTTGTTTACATTTTATCTTAATTTCAACCAATGAGCGAGCTAGGGAAGCGTTTTTTTTTCTTTTTTTTTCTATTTGTCACCAAGACGCTTGTTGGACTGCTTTAGCTTTCGCTCTTATTTGAGCCTGCTTACGATTTGAGCTATCGTATAATCTTTAAACATCGTCTTACCCAGTTCTTCGTTTGCCAATCGCTCCAAAATTGCGGGCTTAGAAATTGTTGCCCCTTCAATCATGTCTTGAAACAAATCAATCAGTTTTTTAACATGGTTGTCGCTAAATATGCCTTGGGATCTTTCAGTCGTATCCGTGGGTGCCCAAATTTCAGACTTATGGCTGCTTGTGTCTTTAAACATTCTACCGACAAGAATGGCAACAGTTTCTTCCTCAATAGGTGATGAAGTTATCTCATCAGCTTGCTAGGCTGTTTGGGAACTGTAACGCCATTCCGTATGGATCCTGTTGTATACTCTTTTTGGACTTTCTTAGCACAATATCGGGTCAGGCTGGATTTTTTCTCGAACCAAAGACATAGTGACACTTTACAACGATATTTCTTTGGCAAATAAATTTTGCAGTGTTTGTAACGACTCTTCTTTCCAGGGAGCTCGTTCAATACCCAGGGAGTTAGCTGTTACGAGCTCATATTCACTGAACTCATTGACTTCCTTTCTTGTTCCCAGCTCTTTATCGTTTTTCTCACAGTTTCTCATAACTTCATGAAGCTTTTTAGATGCTTTCACAGATGACTTGTTCTTCTCGAAAACTCTACAGTACTTCTCGGCGGTACCTTCTTGGTGTGCCATTAGGTCAGCCAGGTTGCTGGTAATTTGGCATGACATTGAGATACGACGCTTTTTCGGTAGAGAGTGTGGTGGACTGGTCCCTCGATCCTGGCTTTCTTGAAAATGGAGCTAAGAGCCTTGGTCATTTGATTTGACTCCGTTCGACTTCCTAACCATGACAAAAACGCCTGTTTCCCATCGGACTGTGCAGCAGGAAGTCGAGGTCTCATTTCCTTTATGAAAACATCGATGTAGCTTTACAAGAGCTTTGTCATTGAATCTGAGAGCAGAGTGCGAAAAAGAAACTGGGCCTCCTGTGTTTGACCAATATTCAACCAAAAGGGGATTGCAGTATACAAAGGGTAAATCATAGCTAAAAACAACAAATTTTGGACTACTTTTGAATTCCAATTTTTCAGTATCTCAGAGCGTGTATTCTTTGTAAGTAGCTATTCATTTTCGCAAGGAAATTGAAGTAAAGTATAAAAACTCGTGAATAAACAGCATTTTCATTTTTCGACCTTGAACGTTTGCGCTATGTCGCGTCACATCAGCGCGCCTGCTCATACGGAAGGCAATCATCAGCGGTCACCCATGAGCAGTAGTAATATAGAGACAGTATAGCGCGGACCAATCAGAATCGAGTATTAAGGTCATGTGGTACAAATGGACCAATCGGAAAGCCGGATTTTCACATTCCATTCTGATGACGTCATGCAAACCCCAAACGCCTGGTACCGAGTGTAATGCGCGCGTGCGGGTTCGCAAGCGCGAGGAGATAGGGATGTTTTTGCGCGCGCGGGTAAAAAAAGGATTTTTTGGAGGGGTTTTTAATAAGTAAAAAAACGTGACAAAAAAAATTGAGATAAAAAATGTCTCAAACTGTTTTTAATTATCATCAAAACACATGTTTCGGAAACCTCTTTATACAGCTGTGTCCCAAGGAGAACGATAATAACCTTTCATAAAGTCAAGAATGGAGCTGAGATAATATTCTTTATCTAAAAGTTGCATATGAAGTTTCGTGATGTTTTCTTTGTAATGTTTTTCGAGATTAAAGCAGTCATCTCTTAGTTTTTTGATCAGTTTTTTTACTCTTTTGCAGTTTTTTCTTCTGTTACTCCTCGTCATGATGGAAGTACGTGAATAATGTTGGATAGCGGATGTTTTCACCTTTCTTTGCCCACTTTGTCCACAATCTTTTGAAGGGGTTTTTACTTGATACGGGAAGACTGTTTTTGGGTTGAATTAAACGATACTTTTCAATGACAGAGTGATGGTACCACGATTGTTGTAGCCACTGTTTCAATGTTTCATTGTTGGGTTGAGCATCAAGATCATAATTGATGTGGATGGTAGTATTGTCTTTATCTGTAGGGATGATGAGGAAATAGGTGTGTTTTACGTGAATGTTTTTGTCGTAGAATTTACAGCAGTAAAGTTCAAGATCAATATCAAGATCATCATCATCATCTGTTCCGATCATGATTGTAGTGAATTATAAATGAGTAGCGAAGCTGCATTTATAGCCATATGGGAAAGATTGAAAGGTGTCATGATCACTCATCCGCAAGCGTTAGATCTTTCATCTGTTGTGTTATTTTGTCGATTAACCTTGGCATGTAGACCGCTCTTAGGCTACTTATTCGCTGCCTCCACAACTCTTCTTGATTAATTTCTTCTTTTCTTTTACACGATTTACATTCCTGACACTTGCACGTATAATCGTACGGGTAGATATACTCAGGCATCGTTGAATTCTAACCGGCTACAATCCACATTTATAGCCATATGGGAAAGATCGAAAGGTGTCGTGGTCAACGACACGTTTATCAACCACGAGTTTGTACATTTTATTTTGGGACACTGTTTTGATGGTTTTTGTAGCGGCACATCTTGTGATCTTATGAGGATTGTGGAGCGTTAGCGTGCGAGGTTGTTCTTCTTCTTCGTTCAAGATTTCGTCCAAGACCAAGTTTTTCATACTGTTGAAATTGAGGATTTTTTGTCCACGTGCATTCAATGTAAATCCTCTCACTTTGCAACACTGGTTTTCTTTGAAGGTTTCGTATGCATAATTCTTAGGCCCAGCAGCAACGAATTCTGTAATGTGATCTCCATCGTTTAGTTCATTCGTGAATTCGCCGAGATAATTTCCGGTGGGAATGGACGATTCAGCGGGTTTCTTGGTATAAATCACGGAATCCGTATCGAAATACAATACTCTTTCTTTCAGCGTGTCAATAGCATCATACAGTTTTAGTCTTGCATAACTGGTTGTGAAACATGCAATAAAGATGTTTACGTTGGTTTGAACGGGTTTGCATTCATATTCAAAGGTGTGGTACACTTCTACCATTTCTTCATTCGCTATTTCAATTCTGTGTACGACTTGTCGGTCGTCTGTGATGATGTTGAAGAATTCGGACGGTTTGACACACGTGGTCACTTGGGTTTGGTTAGGGCGTTTTCCGAATTTTCCCCAGAAAGAATTCAGCATTAGTTTAGCGAAGGAACGTAGACCAGGGTTCTTTTCGACTTTGGCGGGGTCTAGTTCTATTCCTTCATGCGCTTTGTAGTCATCGAGATAGGTTCTTCTTTTTTCCTCTGTGTCACATTCGGAAGGCCAACCAGAAGCTTGTTGTTTGAGTTTTATAAAAGTCTTTATGTAGGGGGAAAAAAGTTCCTTTGAACGTTGCTTGAAGTTCCAAACTTCGTAAACGTACATGATGACGTACCTCTTTTCAATGGCTTTTTGTAGTTCCAGGGTTGTCCAGGTACCTGTGAGGCATCTTTCTTCGGCAGAATGGGGGCACTTGTCGCTTCTTTCTAGGAGGGCTTGTTTTATGTTTTGTTGCGCGCATGTTCTGCACAACGGGAAGAGTAGTTTTGATTCGTACCTCCATGGTAGAACTGGATGGTATAGCTCATAGGGAGGTAAAATTTTGCATTTTATCAATCCATAGTATCTCTGAGATATCTGTTTTTCTTGGTTGGTCAATGAACTCGGGATGGCAGATGGTGTAATCGCATTCCAAATTTGCACATGGGTACAGTGATATTATGTCTCTCTATTCGATCTTTTCATTTTCATTTTCGTCAACTTTGTGGTGAAGTTTTATGGCGTTTGTGCGACCGCCAAAGAAGGCTTCTCGGGGATTGAGAGGGGGTACGATGTCGAGTTTATCGACGAACGCTTTTAGTTGAGGATCTGTTTTTTGCATTCTATTCCACTCGCAATCCCAGATTTCTTTGACATGATAACCCAAGGCGGTAAGTTCTTTGATTTTAGATCTTGTTTGTTGACGAACATCACGCATGGTTTTATTCTGATGAATGGGATGTTTCATGGTACGATTTGGGAAGCAATCTACACAGCCGTGGTAAAAACAGCCTTGAAACTCGTAGACGGTACGTGTTTGTGCGTCGTAGCTGTCTACCAGGTATGTTTTTGAGCCATTTACTATTCTTCTTTCGCCTTTGTTTCTTGTATGGGCAATTCGAGGCAGATGGTTGGTTTTTTGGAGTTTTGATTCTTCCCAGTAAAGCCATTTTAGAGCAGTTTGAGATTGGGTGTGATTCGGTCTCCATCCACATACAGGTTCAATGGCAATTTTGTTTTTCGGCATTCAATTTTTTCTGTAGGCCACATTACAGGCAGAGGCAATTGTTATGCAATGCACCATAGGGTTGAAGCCGCAAATTTCATGGAACTGGGACTGAAACTTCATACACCCCTGTTTCAACAGCCTTATATCGGATTGACAGTACGCCAACAGTTCGTGCTGGAAATTAAAAATATATCTTTCGGTTACTTTCTCGTTGTACCATTTGTCGAATTCTTCTTTTCTTTGAGGGGACATCCCATCGGGGTCGTAGTAGGATTTTTCTGGCATGTACCCCTCGTAGATCTGGTTTTGTTGAGTGTTGAAGAAATGTGGGAAGAAGCCTTTCTTCATTTCATTTAGACCAAATGTTTTAGGGAAGTTGGACAATGCCATGGGGAAAAAGTTCATGGAGTCGATGAACTTTATGTTGGGTAATTCCAAACTGAGGATCTTGGCACCATTCTCGATTTGTTTTAGATTGGTAGTGTGCTGTTTGTAAAGTTCATCGAGGATAAAGTAACCATCGTAGCCTTTGAAGTTATGTGCCACTACGATGACTTTCTCCACGTCTTCTTGGTTAGCTAATAAGTGAACCCATTGTATGAAATCATGTACACAGTCTTTACCTTCGAAGGTAAATTGCGTGTCGTTTTGATCTGTTTCTGCGCACACAAGGTTAGCCACATGGTTGCCTGTGTCTTGTCGCGCTTCAATATCGAAGTATACGAAGATGGTGCGCTGTTTGTTCTTCTTTTGTTCGTGCGTGACAGCTTGCAGGTAACACTTGTGCTGAAGAATGTTGACTTCTTTTTCACAGCTCGGACAGTACTGTAATCCGCAATGTTTCATGTGTTCTTCTGCATTGGATGTGAATACATGGGAACAGATGGAACATTTCTTGTGGGAATCACACACATTTTTTTCCCCAGGTGCTACAGCTTTTCCATTGGCTTTTTGAGTCAGATGATTCAATTGGCAGGTAACACCATAGAAATGACGATTGCAGTGTTTGCAAGGTAGTTCTGGTTTCTTTGTATGCTTGAGAAGTTCGTAGTCGCGACAATGGAACTGAAAGCAGGCATGACATTTGGTTCTACGGCATGAGTGATGATTGTAGTCTTCTGTCGTGTAAGCTTTCTCGCATCGAAGGCAGTAATAGTTAGAGCCGAAGAACCCGGGAAGTTTGGTTACGACGTCGAAATGCCCATCATGCATCAATAGTTTAATCTGCTTGTTGCTTTCCGGTCCTTTGTGAACGATAGAATGACCATGTTCGGCAGATATGACGACGAACTGGTAGTCGCACAATATGATTTCAAAGAGTTTTATTTGGTCTAGGCTACAAGGACCTAGAGGAACGCGCACTTCTTCTTGTAATTGTTGTGCCAGCTGTTTTTGTAATGGCTTCCGGGAATCTTTGATGGATTTTACTTGTGGGTGGTCATCCTCTATGGCTTTAGCTACTATGATAGCTCGAGCACAACAAAGTTCATCATCATTCATGATGCGCACTACGCTTCGTTTTGACTTGAGGAAGTCGCCATAGTTATCGGTGCCGAAGATGTGGCGCTTGCGTTTTCCTTTCGGAAGACCGCTTCCGGACGGCGGCATTGCGATGTGCGTGACATCTAACTGCAAGGTGTCATCGATTTTAAAATTTTTCATTTGGACATTTTGATACGGAACTCGTTTAAAATTTAAAAAATCCTTGACTACTTTCTTCTCCACTCCCGCCAGCACCACCACCGCTTTGTTGTTGTTCAATATCTTCCACCACTTTCAATAAATCTTCATCTGAGATATAATCTCTTTGTAAAACTTCATCTGGAACATACTCCATGTTTGATCCGAAGTGAATTACTTCGCCAGATACCGTAGAAATTATAGTAACGGTGAAAAAGCATAGCGTCAGTATTGCGCGCGCATAGCATAACGATAGGTATTCATCATTCAGTAATTTTCCGAACACACGTACAAAAAGCAAGCACATGGTTCGAAGGTCAAGGTGAAACGTTTCTTACGCGCGCGCGTAGCAAGGCATCGATGTCAAAGCGCATTTTTCGTAATCACGGATGAAAAAATTGAGTAGACAAAAATAAAAGAGTTTGAAAAAAGGAATGATGTTTATTTACAAATGGTTATGTTATTTCCTCCTTTTTCGGGTGGCAGCTTCTAGAGCTTTTTTAACACCATAGGATGCACCTCCTCCGAGAGCCCCTAATCCGTCGGCTTTTCCACCAGCAATAAGTGCAGGAATGAGTGCTGCTAAGGGTAGGAGACCCCCTTTTTGTCTGCGTGATGTTCTTCTTCTTGTTCCTTTCCATCTGTTTTTTCTTCTTCGAACCATGATGTCTCTGATTTTTACGCGAGTATATTCTGAGTGGGTAATAATGACGAAGGTTAATGCGCGTTGTTTTTATAGCTAATCGACGAAGAGGATTATTTACGATTTGAATTTTCTTTTAGCGGCGATAATATTTCGCGACAATTTTTCCATGGGTGATTTTTTACCAGGAAGTGCATCGATGGCATGTACCATTTTTAGATCAGCTTTCCATTTGTCACGTATGTTTTTGGCATTGGAATAGTCTATATCTTGTAGTTTGGCGATTCTGTCCAAACGATTGATACCAGGATCACCGCGTGCGAGTCGTTTTTTGAGAAATGTTCCAGGACCCAGGTATTGATATCTTTTACGTTTTGAGAGTGAAAAAGGATGAAATTCAATTCCTAATTTTTCGATTTTTTTCTGTATGTCAACTTTCCCTCCTCTCTGTCTTCTTTTCTTCGATTTACGCGTATGGTGTTGTTTTCTAGGCATGATTCTTCTTCCTTTTCTTCTTTTCTTTGAATGACGCGCGGCGTGTTGTCGTTTTCTGGCCATGATATAAGATTGATAATGTTGAAATGAGATAGGGTGTTGTTTATATACAGTTCAGTCTTTGACGACATCTATTCCTGAACGTGATTATGTAATACTTTATTGCTTTGACAAACAGTTATATTTACAACAAGAAAACCTGGTACGTTGTAAAAAAACATCCGAAGTTGCAAATAAAATTTTTAAGTACCATCATGACTTTCGCTATCATCAAACGCCAATTTTTTGGCAACGGAACCTAAAAGACTTTTCCGTTTCTTCTTTTTTTTCCCAGAAGGATCCCAACTTGTCCATCCTTTAGCTGGTTTTAAGATTTTGACGGCTCGTGGTGTTTTTGAAAGCTATTTCTCGCATTTTTCTCAAAGTTTTTTTTGAGAGTACCATCTACATCTAATTCAGGTTCTCCTTGAGCAAATGACAATACATCCCACGACACGCTTTTGCTTGGGGTTTGTTTCTTGGGTATCTGGAGGGAAATTGTCGACGGTTTTAGAGGTGGTGGTGCCGTCGTCGGTTCTCTTTTGGGTGCTCTCTTGGGTGTTCTCCTTGGTGTGGCCGGTTCTCTTTTGGGGGTGACTTCACTCAAAATTCTTTTCAACAATTTCTGTTGTACGGGAGTCACCAAATCTCTCTCTTCGTCTTTTAAGGATTTTGCCAACTTGGTAGGATCGGCATCGACCGATAACGATGCTGGTAGTTGTCTCATTTTTCTAACGTAGAGTTCTATATCAGGATCGAGCTGTTTGATGGCTTGCTTTTTGAAAGCGTGACTTGTATTGGGATTCTTTAAAATTTCCATTTTACGAGTCAGGAGTTTGGCCGCTGTATCCAATGTAGGATCGAAGGTCAATCGTCCTTTGAAAAGATTCACCATGGTCGGATCTTCGGCAGGAACCATGTACATTTTTTGATACGCCATATTTTTCTCTCTGTCTAACGGCAACAAGTCTTGACGACAGTGGTTAGTCCATTCCACAATTTTCCACCTTTCTGATTTATCAAGGCTTGTCTTCTCTTTTTAAGCGATACGGTTCGATTTCCAATTTGCCTCAGGATTTGTCTGTAAGGTCTTAATCTGGCCATGGTGACGGGTGTAACGGGCACGTTGTTTTTGAGTAAATTCATCACGATTTCGCTTACGGCGTTGACTTGATCTTTGTTGGCGTGTTTGATCAGAGCTTTTCTTGCGTTTCTATTAGCTGCCGAAGTAATGGCTTTTAAAAACGTTTTCTGTCTACGAATTCTTTCCATCTCAATATTTTGCCTTCACTACACAACCGAACACACTCAAAGGTTGAGGCATGGGCGCGTTGGTCAGCTAGGCCCAAGATATATTTTAATTGTGACAATGAGTTTACAACAAAGTGGATAAGAGATACATCAAGTAACGTCCTACATGCGCCAAAGCCGGACACGTAAACCCCAAAAACCTCTTGTTAGGAAAATAGGGACTGTGAACCCCCGACCAACTGCAGTGGCGCCACCTTTGGGGTTTTAAGGTTGATCTATAAACAATGAAGAGAATGAAGAAAACAAATCATATCAGGCTAATTACACAATAAAAATAAATCTTATGGGAAAGTGCTAGTGGCAAGGCTGACCGTAGAATGCCACAAGTTTCTCAACGGTCTCTTCTTACAAACATACTACCCATGAGCCTTCGCGTACTACGCTCGCACCCAGTTCTCTGTTCCGTGTCGGCAAAATATTAATTTGTGTCAATACCGATTATCACAAATTACATATTTTGCCTTCACTACACAACCGAACACACTCAAAGGTTGAGGCATGGGCGCGTTGGTCAGCTAGTCCCAAGATAGAAAGCTAAAGGTAGGGCTTGAGCTCAGAGAAACAGAGCCTTGGAAACTTCTAGCCTACTGGAAAGAGAATCCTTAACATAAATGTTCTTTGCTGTGACTGAGGCCCAGCGACCATGGCGCTGAAGATTCCTCTCCGAAATGCCAGAGCTGGCAGCTAAAGTAGCTCCACCTGACCTAGCTGAATGAGTGCTATACTTAGAGATATCTGGTACAATATTCGCGAAAGACTTCTTAAAGGACTGCCTATAGGTAGAATAACAAATCGGCTTGTTTACAGAGATAAGGCGCTTGTGATTGCCCGAAGCTGAAATGGCCCTAAAAAGATACTCGTCTGAATTTTCAGGAATCTGGGCCTTATGCATATACAGCTTAAGTAAAGAACAGGGACACGTGATAGATGAGGACTCAGCAAGAGCGTCCAGGGGCTCCTTTCTATTGACTATTGGCTGACTGGCAAGGCGAACAGCTCCTTCCTTTACGGCAATAACAGTAGGTTGTAATGTTGGAGAGTCGACGCCTGCAAGAAGATGTACCCACTTGAACGCGTAAAAGGCGCAGTTGATGGAAGCGACGGACTTGGACGACTCGAGGAGGTGTTGCAAGTAGAGGGCACAATCGATTGGTCTGACTGGAAACTCCGAGGTACCCAAGACATCACTAGCAAAGGGTCTCCACTTGTTAAACGCCCTCAAGTAATTTGCGAATGTCCCAGACGCTCTGGAAGCAAGCACGGTAGATTTGAGATTCTCCATTAGCTGATCCACTCTCGGGGAATTTTGGGCCTCTGAAGACCAGAAAACGGAAGTGAAGATATCTAAGGATTAAAAAAAAAAGAAACAGGACAAATATTAAGGGGAAAAAAAAAAAAAATAAAAAAAAAATATCAATGAGACAGGCAGCAATGCACACAATGCTGAATTTACATTTAACTCACTGTCTTCACTCAGGAAGACCACTTTGCCGATCAGGCAATACACTTCTGCGTAAAACGATACAAGAGAAAAAACCATGCTATTCTAGTGGACGTAGCCCTCTAGGGCGTTTGCACAATGCCAACAGAAAATACCCCTCTAGGGTACAAAATGAAAATACATATGACAAATCGCCCCTCTAGGGCCTCTCCTGGATGCCTCTCTAAGGCCTAACACGTTTAACTTACAAAATGATTATCAACAAATAATAAGTACTTCGCGCAAATATAATACGCCTTATCGGTACATAGTGGAAACAGCAGCGAACTCTAGCCCGAATGGAATCAAACACAAGGAACTAGAAAGCTTTTACGAGATAACTCGGAATCTAATCTGGGAATGATGCTAAAGTCAAGACGTAGAGCTAACGAAACGAAAGCCAATGGCTTACTACCAAAAATAGAGTTCTTAGCTTTTCCTCTAATGAACAAATTAGGAAAGTTAGGCAGGATAACCCAGTCATGGATAAATGTACTCCAATGGAAACCATCCGAACACAGGATGGGCCAGAAGTGGGCTGACTTCCAAAGGGGAACGATCAGAGTTCCTTGAGCACAGCACAGCTCCATATGCTTAATAACTTTACACGTTAAATACACAGGGGGACACAGCCAGTTATTATGATGAGACCAATCCTGAGAAAACGCATTAACGCCACTCGAACCAGGCTGGTAAAACCTAGAATTAAAGCATTGGACTTTGGCATTGTAGGAACAAGCGAACCTATCGCAGGTATGTGGACCCCATAAGTCGTCAAGAGCACTGAAGACCGTATCGTTGATCGTGTAGTCGTCATAATCAATGAAATTGCTTATATCGTCCGCCGCACTATTTAGGTCTCTTGGGATCCATTGCATATCGATGTTAATAGCACTAAGCAAACAACTACGATGGATATCCATTGCAAGCTCTTGTAATGCTGGAGTCTTAGACCCTGAATTAACGATCCGGACAACGTTCTGATTATCCGTAAACCACGTGACTGTTTGGGCTCTCAATGACTCCACGAAGGCTTTCACTGATAATGACACGGCTAACAACTCTCTGAATGTAGAACTTTGAGCTTTCTCAAAATCTGACCAGTTTTGATGGAACATCTTCCGCTCGAACTCGATGAAACCGCCGCAAGCTGAGCCAGAAGCATCGGAATAGACGATCTTCGAAGGCTTGTGCCTGACAGACCAAATAGGTATGCCGTTAAGACTTGCCGCATTAGACTTCCAGAAAACCAGCTCAGCCAGAGCTTCAGACGAAAGATGAACGTAAGAGTTCCAGGTTGGCGCGGTATTGATGACTGCGAATAAATTTCTAGACATAAGCCTAGAGACATTACCAACACAGGGGCCAAGAAATATTATTTTTCCGCAAACAGAGGCAAGCTTCCGAACTGGATGACAAGACGAGGGAATGGCCAAAAGGGTCGCTAAATCTTCTTGTAAACTGGTAATTCGCTTAGCAGTGGCAGGAATTTCAGAAGTGGAAGTGTTGAGAACGGCTCCGAGCCAAGTAATAACCTGAGTGGGCTCCCAAACGCATTTGGTTTCATTAGGAAGAAAGCCAGATTTAAGTAGATCTGCATGTACTTGGAGACTAGCGATTTTTGCCTTATTCTTGTCCGCAGCAGCTCCGAGACCATCGTCCAAATAAACCACGATCGACTTTGCTTCAGATCTCCATTTCTTGACTAAAGGCTTGAGTAGTTTAGTAAATAAATAAGGCGCGGAACTGAGGCCAAACGGAAGAACAGAAAACTGGAAAAATCTGGTGCGTCCTGAGGAAAAAGTCCACGCAAATGATAGGTACTTCCTGTGCTCCGGGAATATTTCCACGTGATGGTAACCAGACTTTAAGTCAAAAGTAAACATAAAATCTCCAGGATTCAAAACCTCTTTCGCAATAGACAAATCCTCACACCTGAATCGGCATTTATAAAGGAACTGATTAACGTGGCGAAGGTCTAAAATTAGACGCTTTTTGCCTGATTTTTGAACAGATACGGACAAAGGATTGATGATAACAGGAGCTTCAAACACTTCGGTGACGCAACCGTTGATAAAGAGATCGTTAATGGCACTTTCGACAAAAGCTGCCTGCTCCAAAGCCGAACTGTTATTTTTAGCTGTGAAGGGCGGAGGAATTTGGAGAAGCGGTAATTTATAGCCATAATCAATGACATCCAGGATAAATTGAGGGGCGTGAATGTCGTTCCAGAAAGCGAGGGCTCCACGTAGCCGTCCTTTAACGGACGAGTAATCATCGCCGGATTTAACCTCGAAAGAATTTCCATTGACACGAAGAAAAATTAATTCATCGCTATCCTCATGAACAAGGCCTTGTTCCAAATCGACGTCCGAAGTGAGTCATTTGGGCTTCTGACCGGTATTAGAAGGAACATCAAACCGCAAATTAGGGCAGAAAGCCTTCTAATGCCCGGGTTTGCCACAAGCAAAGCACAAACTAGAAGACGATCTCTGAGACGAAAGCTGCGGGTTTACACGCGAAAACAAATTGGGCAGCTGTGAGGCGGAAAACTGCGGAGTTGTTGAAGTCGATGTAACATTACTTCTTTGCCGGGTCGAGCGAGATGTGAAACGCTTCGTGGACCTAGCTGCTCTGGATTCGGCCCTGTATATCTTTTTCTCATCTTCTTCGTCGTCTGCGAGATCATGGTGCTTGTATTCGAGGACCGTCTTCCACCCGTACTGTGATTTATCAGCCAGTAAAATTAATTTTTGACGCTCTTGAAGCAGCTCCATACCTTTATCCAAGGCTTGTTTGATCTTCTCGACGTCGTTCCTTTCGAGGGCAATCTGGGCGTCTTCAACAGCATCTTTAATAGCTTTGTTAGCTTTGTACTGCTCTTCGTTGCTCTTTTTGTTGAAGTGAGGAACGGAATCGCGTTTCAACCTTTTAATCTCTAACATCTGCTGGGAAGCGATAGATTCGTTAGAACGCTTGAAGTCAGAAATCGAAGTATTTACGAGATCTTTGATCTGAACGATAAGATCTCTGTTGTTTTCAGCGATTACTTTCCTGACGCCTGCTTCGTCCATAACTAGGCAAGGAAAAGTGATGAAGACAAAAAATAAACCTTATGGGAAAGTGCTAGTGGCAAGGCTGACCGTAGAATGCCACAAGTTTCTCAACGGTCTCTTCTTACAAACATACTACTCATGAGCCTTCGCGTACTACGCTCGCACCCAGTTCTCTGTTCCGTGTCGGCAAAATATTAATTTGTGTCAATACCGATTATCACAAATTACATTTTTGCTTACTCACTACGGATGTAGCACTGTCTCTTATATGCGTTGATCTTTCCGCCGCCCGCCGCCCGCCGCCGCCCGTCTGCTCACTCAGTCTGTTCTTTTTTGATACACGGTCGTGTACCCTTCGCTTCTCAATAGATTGGTTTTTAACCTTTCGTGATCTGACGAATTGGGATGTAGATCGAACATTAAATACCCGAAGGGTCTCTCCGTAGCATCTCTATACACGTTCAACACCTGGAAATCTTGCGGAAAAGCTTGTTGCATAAGAATACGCACACCCAATTGATCGCGAGGATTCTTGAAGGCAACGATGTAATGCGCATTTCTAGAAATGGTTTTGGCATGTTTACCTTTGGGAAACATATCTTGAGTCATGAAAACGACGGTGATACCTCTGTGATGTGATTATCTGGTAAACAGATCTAAGACTCTATGGTCGTCACTTCCTTCGCGCATGAGATCGTCTAAGATCAAAACTCCACCCATTGTTTTCTTATACCATTTTTCTAATAATTGGGTATCTGGAATTCCTTCGTGGAAATGGATGCCTTGTTCTTTTTTCATTCTTTCAAATGTCGTGGGTTGGTTAGCACCGTAACAATAGACTACGGGATTATAGGGACGAGTAAACAAACGACTTCTTTCTCTCATCAGTTTTTCTACGAACACCGTTTTACCGCAACTAGAAGGTCCCACGACCATGATGCTACACGGACTTTGAAACTGAAACGGTGTACATAAAATCACGAATTTTTTTCTGCGTGTAAACTAAAAAAGTGTTTTTTATTTATATATCCAACGGACAAGACCTGTTATTGTCTTGTTTACAACATTTAAGATTTTCAACTCTTGAATTTAATAACGGTTTGATCATTTCCCCCACCAAATGATCATTGAACACAAAATCCCCTTTTTTAAATACACTTATGAAATCCTGCATGCTTTGACCCCTGGCGTTAGCTTTCAAATACATCAATGCATACTGCCCACACGATTGTGAGTTCATTTCTTGCAATGTCGTTGCGTTACTGCGTACGATTTCAAAGTTTTCGAAAACCCATTCCACTACATCGGATGGTTTGTACCACTTTAACGGTAATCCGTAACTGTCCATGACTTCGCAAGTGTGTTTTTTGGTGAAAATAGCCAACCAATGAGATCCGGGTTTATCGATGGGGTCGGTGTTGACGATGTAAGCTCTTTTTTTCCATTGTTCTGGTAATCCCGGTAATTCATCGGCTGCAAATACTCCTGCGAAAATAGGTGTTAGATATGGATCTTGTTTGGCGAGATAAGATAATTGTTCTGTAGTAAATGGACCGAATTCCATGGCCTCTTTTTTCTTCTTCTTTTTTCTTACTGGATTCTTCGTGCAATCGTTTGACTGTAAATGTCGTACTGAGTACTACCCGTGGGTTTTATCTGCATCATGTTTTCGAATTCACCGTAGACGATGACGGTGATTAACGAATTGACAGCTGTCTTTGTAATGGCGATTTTGACACGCCCTTCTTGTTTAGGGTTCAATTGTACACTGTCTGCACATCCAGAGGCAACATTATCCCACATGTATAATGTGGTATGATGATCGTCTCTCCAATGTTCTGGTTTGATCATACATCTTCCTCGGTAGGCTGAACAATTGGCACTGAGAAGTCTGTGATACCCTGACATGTCATATTGACTGTTGTCTGCAATAAGTTGCAAAGGTTGATACGGGTACTCTTCCCCTTCCACAATCTGTTTGATACCGCTGACATCAAATTTTGGGAAATTGAAAGGATTGTAGGCGTAATTGCCTGAGAAAGCATCTTGATAGACTAATCCTACCACCACGCGGTCCGGGACTCTTCCATTGAACACGTCTGTAGCTTCAAAGTTAGTGTGATTGTTTTGCAAGGTGTAGGTCCTGATTTCTGATCTGACGGTGGGGTAATACACATCCAGATTTTTCTGCACTGTAGCTGTAGCGATTTTATTGTACACGTCTGACCTGACTTTGACCATGCAGGCATAGAATTTCATTTTCAAATCACCGGCTTGTAACCTGACGTTGGTGGCCACTGCAGCCAGTCCGTTCATGAAGAATTTAGGGTCGTTGAGTGTTAACCTCATTCTCAGATCGACTCCTGGTATAAGCATTCTACCCGTATTGAACAAATCTACATGCGGTAACCCAAACAACTGAATGGTTTTTCCTCCCGTGGTTTTGTCTTTCATTTCCAAGAGACCGTCGACTGCTTTTTTTCGTTCTTTCGATAGTGCATTGTAGTCGTTATGAGGTGTGGCACTGTCGATTTGATTGACCGTCAGGTCGCTACCTGGATGATTTAGAGCTGAGTAATATCCTTGAGGTTTGAGAATCGTTTCTTCATCTTCTGTTCCATAATTGAGTATGGTTTCCAGATATGCTTTGTAAGCGTAGGTGTCTGTTTGCTCGGTGGTGAGAGTCCCATTGACGTAGATGGAAGGTTGTTTGATGATGGTGTGAAATGCGTTTGGAGCTAACCATCGTTGCGATCCATCCACCAGATTTCCTCCGTCGGTTTTTTTCAGAATCAAATCCATACGAAAATAACTTCGACTAAAATCAATGTATTCACGACTGCCTGGTATCACGAATTCTATAGGGGTAATACTTTCACTGGTCGGATTGATTTCCACGATGCGGTATCCATTGTAAGTGATGTTGGTAGGTGGTACTGTAAAAAGATCTAAAGCACTATCTTCGACCACTCCCGATTTGAAGTGGGCCGGGGAGGCCTCACTTCCTCCGAACACGATGCTCATCTTTTTAGAACTGATGAAAAGACGCTTACTAAAAAGCTTTTTATACTTCTCTGTGACGCATAGGGGTAAATTTTTGTCTTGTACCTATACTTATACTTTTTCTTCATTTCCATACCCATGAGTTTTAAGAGATTCTTGCCTAGGAATTTTCCTATTTGATATCCTGTTCCTAGAGTTCCAAGTATCGGCGCCTTGGTGGCCGAAAACTTTCCTACTCCTCCTCCTCTTTGCTTTTTAATCCATCCAGCAAGTTTTTTATTCCTTTTAAACCATCTATCCAGTTTTTTGTCCGCTTTTCATGGCTATGTAAGCATTAAGAGCTCCTCCTCTCTGACTTTTTCGTGCACGATGACGATGACGTCCTGGCATACCTTGAATTCTTTGCCTGGCTAATCTCAACAGGTACCCTTGATTTTTAAAGGGATTAGAAGCTCTGTTTATAGGAAGATCATCCATTTCTCTCTTCTTTTTTTTGATGAAAACATGAAAAAGGATCCAGCTCTTTTATATCTTTTTTAATCAACTCTATAAAAAATTTTCTCTGTTATAATATTTTTCTACGTCGTCTTTTTCTTAAGGATAATCCTCTTCCTTTCTGTGTCTTTTGCTTCTTTTTCTTCTTCTTCTTTTCCCACATATTCAAGTATGCGCCTGACATCATGGTAGAAGATCCAAGAAACGGTATTATGGATGAAGGTTGAATGATTCCTCCTTTCTGTCTTTTCCTTTTTCTTCTACGTCTCATATTTTTTCAGTAGGTAAAAATATAACTCAAACGTTTTGCTGTTTTTTTTCTCCTTTTTATACCTTTCATTCCGCTTTTCTTTTGGACTTTCTTTTTACGTTTCACGCCCGTTAATTTACCAAAAACAAAATCCTTGGCTTTCCTCTTTCCGTAATTTATGAGGGATTTTCGAACCATGGCTTTGACTACAGGTTCCACATCTCCTCTTAGAGCTGCACTCGCTATTTTTTCCATTCCGCGCAATACGCCACCCAATCCACGTCCAGATTGAATTCCCGGTCTATAATATCGTAGTTTTCCACCTTGCATGCTTAGGATTTAGGGTTTCTCTCTATACTGCCAAAAAAATGATAAAATTAAATCACCACTCGTATTTATAGTCATGGGATATTTATTTCTTTTACTAAAGTAATGTAAGTAAAAGTAAGTAAAACACTGGCCATTTAGGTCGTTTCTTCTGATAATCTTTATCTTGCAAAAACTAACGATAAAAACCGACGTTTCGGTGTCATCATGACGCCATTGTCAAGGAGAAATAAAGAATGAAGTTTGTGGCAAAGTGTAACATTAAATTAGCATAAATATGTTACGAGCTAATTAAACAAATACTTTTGCGCGAATTGAATCGCTTTGCACGTTCAGAGTGGGTTTTAAGTCTCTGATGAAAAGCATTTCGTTCACCAAACAATCGAACTTGTTACTACACTTTTCAGAATGCTAAAACGTTTCAGTAGGTCTTTCGGGACTTCGCTGTGCTGTTCGTGGTAGTGTTTATATATTGAAGATGCCTTTCGTTTATGTCCATCCACGCGTGTGTGTAAGTGTCCGCGTGTATAGCCCACATAACCCGCATCACACAGGTCACATTGAAATTGATAAACGACGCGTTGTTGGTTGACAATCTGTGGCTTGATTTCTCGTACTTTAAGATCTTGGCTTACTTTGCGGCTAACAAATACTGGCTGGACAGTTGTCTGCACCTTCATGCTAAGATTCTTGAGCTCTTTCTTAACATAATTTGCTGATTCTTGATCTTTGAAAGGTATGACCACACGAACAATGGATATTGGTTCTTTGGGCGTCTGTGTGGGCTGCGTACCAACAATTCTTGATTGTAAGAAGGTGTTAATGGTAGAATTTACCAGGCGCCCCGGGTATTTAAGCCGTGCGAAAACTTTCTTTAGGCGATCACACTCATCAGAGAAATGGGCCCAGGAGGAAGATAATCGGTGTGCGCGATCCAGCATAGTTTTCAGCAAGCTCCGTTTGTAGCGATTGTCTACATGGCTTTGGTAGTGTAATAGTAGGCCCGTGTTTGTTGGTTTCACATATACCTTGGTTTCAATCCTGAGGTGCATGGTTGAGTAGTTCGGTGCCAAGGAAAGGAAGCTTGCTGTTCTTCTCCACCTCCATGGTGAATTTGACCGAAGTGTGGGCGCTGTTGAGGGTATGCAAGAAGGTAGTTGCTGTTGCTAGATCAGGCATTACAGTGAGTGTATCATCAACATATCGACGATAATAGGATGGAAGTTTTCTTTGTCGCTCAAGGGTATCTTCGATGGATGACATGAAGACGTTTGCTAATAAGGGCCCGAGAGGGGACCCCATAGCAACGCCATCTGTCTGTTCGTATAGAGCTCCGTTAAATTGAAATAGTTGGCCTTTGGTGGCTACGTTTAGGAGGTCAATAAGATCTGTTCTGGTAAGGGCAAGATTGTGAGTAGTATTGAACCAATTGTTCGAAAAGGCTCTGTTAACCAAGATCTCTATTGTTTCGTCCAAAGGCACGTTCGTGAATAACGAGGAGACATCATACGAAACCAAGATTTCACCCTTGTTGATCTTCAGCTCGTGAATCTCTTTTGTGAAATCAAAATTATCAGTAACTGTATACTGATTAAGGGACAAGGGCTTCAATTTCTCGTCGAGCCATTTAGCAAGGGGAAAATTGTACGTGTCGGTGGCTGATAATATAGGCCTCATAGCCAATGGTTCTTTGTGGGTTTTGGCAACCCATATAAATGTGCTAATCTGGAACCTGTAGGGCTCACGGAATCTGCAATGGTCTTCGGTAGAATTCTACGAACAATGGAATCTAGGATCTTCTCTTTCTGTAGTAGGGGTGGTAATATTTGGATGGTCTGCCCTGGTCTTGGGTTTCTCCAGGGGAATGGCACGGAACTTGCTTGTATCATTGACTGAGGCTTCAGAAAGTAATCGCAAGTATTCGGTTTTGTCTAGAACCACAACACCAGACCCTTTGTCGGGTTTCGTGATAACTATGTCGTCGCGTCCTTTTAACTCCTCTATAGCTCTCAACAATGTCTTTGGAGGTTTCGGACTCTTGCGTTCGATGTAATTGAGTGCAACGAAACGTAACGTTGCTGCAGATAATTCCTTTAAATTATCATCATTGAGGTGGGGTTCAAGGCTCCAATAGGCCTTTTCAAAGCTTGCTTTAACGTCCATGGGAGACACACGTTGAGGAATGGCAAATGTTAATCCTCGGCAAAGGACCAGTCTCTGAAAAAAAGGAGAGGTTGTAGGATGATAGGTTCAAAATATGTTCGTCAACATCCATTTCGATGTTGAGCAGCCGTGAGATCTTCTTCGTGTGAGTATTAGTAACTTCCTGATGATATTTCTTTTTAAGGCTAACCATAGTGCGTAGAACGCAGGTGTAGCGAAGCAAACTACAGCTCCGGCGAATCTCATCGTAGATGGAATTGATCGCGCGTTTTAGATAAGCACTCTGTTTGATCTTTCCATTTAGTTCCTCAGAGATGACATTCCTTGTAAAGGTTTCGGAAGAGTGCTTCCATTTAGAACGCCTTGCTTTGTCGACCTTAGCGAAAGTTGGAGTTAGGTCAAAGTTCTGACAGAGTCTGAGGAATTCGATTGAGCCATCGCAGTTAATCTGTTTCTTGCTGCATTGTTCAAGTCTCCTGAACAAATGTAGCTGATTATCGCGTTTTAAGATTCTTATCTTTTGCTAGTCTTTGCATTTCTAAATCCTTATTGATAAGAATCTTTATCTTCAACCATATAATTCTTCATTTTAAGAGGCAACCTGCTGTGCATCCTACGGTTAAGCAAAGAAATCATGCTATTCCAGAAATCACCACCATGTATTGGTAGGTCCTGTGAAAGTTCATATTTCAGGACGGATCCTCTCAACCAATAGGACTTGCTTCCGATTTCCAAATTGTTGTAGGTTTTCACACCTTTCATTTCAAGTTCCATACCGCATAAGAAATCCACTTCCGCTTACTTCTGAAAATTGACATTCTTGTGAATCACCGTATCCGGCGTAGACGGAAATGAAATGCTCGACAAAGCCACTTCCCATTCACTCTCTGGTAGATAGATCTCTTTTGCTAACTTTACTTTGAATTTACCGGGAGAGTTATCCGGGTAAATTCGAGCGCTAACTCGCAGTACTCGGAAGAGATAGATAGAACACGTCACTCATTTTTTTCTCACGAAAAAATGTTTCTTCTATTTTTTTCTGAATCCAATTATCAAGGGTACACTTGCTTAAATGCAATTACATGGTCGTTTCTGAGGACCCATGACCGCCTCTTCTAAAATTGATGGTCAAGATCGTCTGTCCATCTTTGAAATTTACTTGCGAGCCATCGGTTTCACTGATCCCCACTTCTACGCTGTCAAAGACGTTTTTACGAATAGGTAAATACTGTAAATGTAACGGTTCAAATAAATATTTCCCTTTTTCGTTATTAGTGAACGAGACTTCTCTCAATAAATCTGTCTCTGTACCACCCACGATCTGAGTCTGTGTTAAATCTGTGTACACGAACAGCGTTCTCTTAGGATCCGCATAAGTGTGGTAGATTTTCTCATCCAATCCTGAAAAATACCAGTTGACATAGGAAGAGAATGTCACGTAACGACCCACGACCACTTCCCATTGAACATCTCTGATTGACCACAGATCATCCGTGGATTTTCACATATTCAAATTGGGATCTCTAAAATGTTCTATTCTGACGCTGCTTGACAAGCACGTGATTTTAGTGCCATCACTTTTTGTTTTTTCTTCTACCAAGTGGAATTTTTTAGCCAACTCCAGTTCAATCTCTACGAGGTTACTATTTAGAAATGATTTCGTCAATTCTTCCAAACTTCGTTTATCTTGAGGTGTAACAGGTTGATTGAAATCGGGGTCAAACACGTCCATGTATTGCACATGCTCGTTGTTGATCTTCAAATCGTATCTGTCTGCATTCAACACCCATTCGAAATGAGGAAATTTCCCTTTCCCACTTTCATCTTTCCATCCTTCAAATCTCCTTCCTCGGTTATACATATACCCTGCGCCATAGTCGTAGATATCTTTCATCTCTTGGTACATTTGATTCGTGACTAAATTTATAAAACGCGACCAAATTTCATACCCGCTTCGTACGGTAGTAGGAAATACCGCACAATCTGACTTTTGCAAGTCCACCACAGCATTACACTTGGCAATATGCCAATATTGAGTAGCTCCTTTCTTGTCTTTGGCTGTTTGCCACGTATTATTTCTCCATCTTCTCAGTGGTATTGGTACTCCGTCGTCGTTGGTGATCTTAGTAGGCATGATCGTGCGAACCAAAATAGGTACTCGCGCATCTATAAAATCGTCCATTCGAGGCACCATACTAGCCAATGCTACCTCCCAATCATTTTCTGGTAGAAAAATATTTCTTGGTAGTTTGAATTTGTAGTGACCGGGATTATTTTCAGAATAAATCTGTGAACTAGCATTGCTAGGTAATGTCAGGTAGAAATTCATCGTGGTAATCACATCGAGATAAAACCAAAAGTGCATGTTGCTTGGTTTATTGGGTTCTATTTATATGCACGCTTTCTGAAACATAACGTGACTACAGTATTTTCGTTTTTATTTCCTACAAATTCAGCTTGTGTTCCATCGACTTCGCTGATTCCTATTTCTACGGTATCAAACGTGTTTTTTCTTACAGGAATAAACTGTAAATTCTGAGGTTCGTAACTGTTCTTTATGACATTCCATTCATAGATCCGTCGTATTCCACTTCTCTCAAAAGATCTGTTTCCGATTTACCCACAAACTGTGTCTGCACCAGATCCGCTTTGAAACTACCTGAAGTGTTATCTCTGTAGATAGTGTCATATCCGTTACTAGGAAGCGTGAGATAAAACGTGTCCTGGTTACCCTGCATGACTCATAAATCGACTATTTCCTTCGCGTTTACCCAACTGTCGTATTTGGAAGGCCAACCTTTCCAACTGACCAGAGCTTTCCCGTCTTTTCTCTTTATTACTTTTTCGATCCGGAAAAACGTGTCTTTATCACCCATATCGACCTTTTGCAACTCTTCCTCGTAAAACGTACCTTTGACGGGTGTTCCATCGTATTCCTTGATCTTGTAAGATGGTACATAGGAATTTATGACTCTATCTACGATGAATATTTCTTCTGTCCAGCCTGGCAAATATCCTTTCTTAAAGGTTCTACGAAACTTGCTCATCATGACCTTATCTCCCGCTTTAAAGGTAGGCTTTCTTCTTCTTCTTCTTTTACGGAATGTACCGAACAATTTTTTACTGTACAATTTCTTCGACACTTTTCCGTCGTTATACATGGTGACATTCTTTGGTGCGATACCCGTAGCATTGTGTACAGACGCATTACAGCCTTTGACTAAATCGGGTAAAAAATCCAGACACTTGAGAGTAGCGTTGGCTGTTAATGCTCGGTACAACCTCTGTTTGAGGGTCTTGTTAAATCTTTCTACCACAGTAGCTTTTGTATCACTTTGAGTATTAAAATGAGTGATCTTTTGCTGCGCGAGATATTCTTGAAACGATTTGTTGTAAAATTCACTCCCTTTATCCGTTTGTATACGTAACGGTTTTCTCCCTTCTTTCAGAATAGACTCAAACGAACTTTTTTGTTCTGCACCGGTTTTGTTCTTCATAGGAACCACCCATGCGTATTTACTTAAAACGTCAACAACCGTCAAGAGATATTTTACTCCTTTGTTGTATCTACTGAGATTTTTCATATCCGCTAAATCGGCTGCCCATTGATGATCTATACTATTAGCTACGGTCGGATTCCTTGTATAACGTACTCGTACTGGTTTATGCAAAGAGTAAATCAAATTCTTCTGCATGATACTCTTGAGTTTTTTGACGGGTACACCCGTGGCTTTGTGTAACCTTTGCAATCCACCATAACTACCTGGATTCGAAAAGTCATAAGACGTCTTCAATACCATCCGTTCCAACTTTTTTTCTTTATCCAACTTTCTTTTCTTTCTCTTGTTCATTCCCATGACTTTTTTTCTCACAGTAAAATTTTAGTGCAGCATCTCGCCAACACGACTAAAGCCGCCCTCATTAACTCTTTCAATGATGGTACTTTATCAGGATGGGTATTAAATACCCATTCTTTATGTTGTTCGTAATCTCTTCCTCTTAGTTGTTCTCTCATTCCCTCCATATGTACAATGAATATGCCAGAATTCTATTCTCTCACACGACTAGGGTCATTGATCAAATAAATAAATAATTCATCCGCGTTTTCTTCGGTTTTCACCTTTTCTAATTCTTTTCGAGGAATAAGCGAATCTCGACCATTCAATTCGTTTTGATAAATACGTCGCCATAACCACTCTTTTCCTATCCGCTCCATCTTCTAATCTGACCGAAAAAAATCATAGCAAAGCTATTTTTATAAATTGAAACCACATTCCAAAATTTTTCCATTCTTTCCCATGTGTTATCCCGAAATAATGAACGTCAATACTGTAGCCAACGAGACCGATTTCTTTAAACGGGAACGACAAAATTTCAAAGAAGAAGTATCCAAGCATTATTGGAAAAAATTCTGGGTGATAGCTATCTTGAAAACCGTTCATAAAAAGAAAGGACTCGAACCATCCATTCATCCCTTTTTTTCCATGCAACGATTGCAATATGTCGATGAGATGAGTTACAAACTCGAACGTGCACTCAAAGAAGTCAAGTTTAATGAAATCTATGACGAATGGACCAAAATCCTGAGAGAAAGAGGTGTGTATCATCCTATCTGGAATCATGAAAACATGGAATTTGTCAAAACCATGATCTCCGGAAACAATGCAAGTAGAATGCTATTGGAGGAAATTCTGTCATTCAGAACAGAAGAATTGGCATTTTCGTACGAATGTATGGGGTTCACGCATCAAGATATTGACATCATTTTTGATTGGATGAGAATCACACCTGACGAACGTTTCATGGCTGGATTGGATGAAGTGGATGGTGTCGTGATCGAAAAAACAACATAAAAGAAAAGACATTTTTTATTTTCTTCCTTTTTTATTCATCATGGCCACTAGCATGCAAGATTATTCACCCATCAACTCTTTACAAAAAATGGTAGATACCATGCCTGTGAATAATGTCAACAGCACTGGAAGTGAGAAAAAAAAGCACAAAAAACATAAGAAGAAAGAAAACATGGCGCCGCCGCCACCGCCCTCAACTCTTCCGCAGTTACAAACGACTTCTGACTTCAGACCTAACGAATTGCTGAAAGAAATGGGGTTTGACATTTCTCCGACAAATTCTTCTTCTAATTCAACCGTGTCACCCGCAACAGCCACCATTGTGGACGAGAAACAGTATGACCTTAACAGCTGTCTCTTCCACCCATGCAAGTTGGAATTAATTCAAGCCCTCTCTAACATGGAATGGTATGTCAAATGCCCCTTCTCTCGAGAGTGTGGAGTCTTTGCGCATTGAACCATGCAGAACGCTTACATGAGTGTACTTAATAGAAGAGTACACGACACCTACAGAAAATTGGGCGGAACCGTCATGTGTAAATGAACAAATTTCAAAGAAAACTTTGACTGTATCAATAGTTATTGAGAAATTGGAGTCAGTATATAATTTAACACAATTCCCAACGTGCTTGCATGAATGGTACAGTGGTGGATATAATAGACAACCATGAGGTTGACCCGGGTTCGATTCCCGATTATAGTAACTTTTTTTTTTGTTTTTTTGTTTCGTATTTTCAATTTGTTTCTTTTTTGTTTTTTGTTTCGTATTTTCAATTTGTTTCTTTTTTCTTTCCATGGTGAAAGGAGTAATTATAGTATTTCATTAACAACTGAACCACCCATAACCCAATGCAATAAACAACTACAAAGAAATGGCGTACACGCAAACGACTTTAATAATGTTTTTAAAAAAATTATAAGAAGAAAAGAAGAAAGAGTCCCTTTTAAAAATCTAGCAAATTTGCCAATTTAAACCGAAACCTTCGGATGGCTTCACGCTTGGTCTGAGCCAAGAATCTCGATATTCTACGATTCTCATATCGACGAATCGTGGTCAGATGTAATCCTCTAACAGTTTGATAAACGAAAACATTGGTAGGTAAATGTAAATTTAAAAATTCTAAAAAAAAAAGTCTCTCGAGAGAGGGATGTTATCGTTCCAGGGATGCTGGAGGAATTCCGTATGACGCCGCGCAGCCTACCATCGTGATGGTGGTGATGGTGATGGTGATGGATATTCATCCAGTTGGTGTAGTAGTGAGGCTGGCGGGTCCGCTCTGCAAAATGGGCAAGTGGGCCATAACTTCTTGTCCTTCTGTGTCCGAAACCATTGCGTTAAGCATTCGTTGTGCATCGACTTTTTACAGCATGGTGTTTTTTGGTCCTGTGGACACGTACTTGCGCAAATTGCGCATTCTTCATCTTCGATAACTTAAAGAAAAAAAGAAAGAATGGTCAATTAGTGTCACTCGTGTGCGACTATGAAAAAAGAAAAAAAGATTCGAATGCGACATATATAAAAACTTACCGCATGTTGTTTCGGCGTCGGCCATTCTTTCTACTGTTGGGTTGACTTACTAACAGCTGACAACACACTGAAAAAAATTGCTACATACGTGAAAGACATGGCATCGCATTGACGCCATGCTACGTACGTGTACAAAATGGCATCATGTTAACGCCATGACATTTGTTCCGCGCGCTTGCTTTTTTTTATGCACGCGCACATTGCGCATACCCGAACTTCAATAACTTAAAGAAAGAGTGGTCAATTAGTGTCACTCATGTGCGACTATGAAAAAAGATTCGAATGCGATATCTATGAACTAACTGCATTGTGTTTGTGCATTATTCATTTTTTCTTGTTACATGAAATCTCTCCGCGCAGTGAAAAAATTTGCTACTCACGTGTAAGAAATGACAACAGCATGATGCTATTTGTTACGCGTGCTTGCTTTTTTGTGCACGTGCACAAAAAATTTGCATATTGACCTTGATCTTGACATTTGTTCCGCTCACCTTGACCTTCGTTCCGCATGCTTGCTTTTTTGTGTACGACGCTCGTCTTTCAAGAACTGATGAAGAAACGCTCGCTAAAAAAGGTTTTTTGCTTGCTTGCTTTTTTTGTGCTTGTGCACAAAAAATTTGCATTTTCATCTGGCACATTCGTGGTGTTCACGCCATGCTACTTACGTGTAAGAAATGGCATCATGTTCACGCTATGTTATGTACGCGTTTCTGTATAAAAAAGAAATGATCGTCGCATTCTTCACAAATCGTAATCGTGAGTGAACAAGGGAAAACAACTGCAAGACGAGAAGAAAACGAAAGAGCTACCATTCTTGACATAAAAAACATTATGTCTTTCGGCATCATCCTGATTGTATATTTTATATTTATGTAAAAGGATGGCAGGACGACACAGCAAAAGACTTAAACATGAAGAGCCTGATGTTGTCACGGGCGAGTACGAGTGTTTCGTATGGCACCTAAAATCTGTGAGACCTGTGAGACCTGTGAGCGAAGTGTCCAGCTCCCTTGTTGCAAACAGTATCTACATCGTCGCTGCCAAATACAATGGGAGAAGTACCATAATACTTGTGGACTTTGCCGTGAACCTTTAAGTGGGTGTAACGACACGCCGCCTGCATCCAGTCAGACCAATTGGTCCTCTGACGACGAGGAGGCTGCTGCGGAGGCTGCTAGAATGGAAATCATTCAGCAACGATCCGATGTGGATACGGAACGTATTGCAAATGATGTCCTCAACGTGACCAGGGAAGAGGTCATCCGAAGACTTCGAGAACTCATTGATTCGCCAGCATTGGAAAGCCAACTAGAACGGGTAAGAGAATATGAATACATAAATCGATATCATTTTATCTACTCTGATTCAGATCACTTTACCAATTGAAAAAATTTTCTTCTCGTAGATGCCTAATTTGGTAAAAATAATGATGATGAGTTATTTGATGACGGCCGAACAAACAACACTAAGCGTACGAGAAAGAATCAGATATTACATGCCATTGTTCGTTTCCTATTCTACTGAGCGTTATGAAGTTGCAACTACGTGGATGCAACGACAAATTGAAAGAGTCAATACAGTATTTCATTTACATATTGAAAGTCAAGCTTTATCGGAACGATTTCACGAAAAATTATTAGAACGATTAAATACTTTTTAATTTTTCGTTTTTTCTCCTTCTTTTTTAGACTCACGTCCTGATCTTAAAAGAAATACTCAAATTCTTACATTTTGCATTGCATTCCAATCGTCATTTTTTATTAGAACAACGAATCGTCTTTTTTTTCATGAGAACCATAAATATACAATATCGTGGTATGACGGTTGATCTTGATTTCGAAAAAGACGATTTTTTTCAATTGAACAGCATCTTTGAATATTTATATTCTATGTACAGAAACATATACCCCCGTCAGTAATAGAGTGATTAAACACTTTTTCATTTTTTTCTTTTTTTTCTTTTTTAGACTCACGACCTAATCTTAAAAGAATTACTCAAATTATTTTTACGTTGCAAATTACATTCCAATCGTTATTTTTTCTTAGAATAACGATTCGCCCGTTTATTCATGAGAAGCGTAATATGTATTATTTTCACGTTAATAACAATAATAATTCTTCGTTTTAGGTTGCTACTCCCGTCTTAAAAGGATATCTATGTTTTGCATTTCATTTACACGAAACAACGCGTCGCTATTCTGAAGCAACCCTAACACAACTTCGAAATGAAATGCGTATTTTTACATTAACTCATTCCGATTTTGAAATAGTACTTTTTGGATAGAATCATGCGAAGTACGCTATCGTTATAATTATTTTTTCAGATCGGTATATATCCTGAAACAAGTCCTTGGTTTTATCTTTATCTTTATCAAATGAGAGGATTGATTCCATAGGATAATTTTGTATCTTTTTGTATTTTTTCCAGATGCAAACTAGGACGTTGTATTCAATTATGTTTTTTAAAGGCGTCATTAGTAGTTTAGCAAGATATTATCGAGCTTGGTTTCCATTAATCGATTTACGTTCGTGTGAGGTCATGGGTAATTTCGTTACAGACATGTCATGTTATACATATATGCTACGAAATCAGAATACGTCCATTACAATCTTCGATATAAAGAAACAGACTCGTCCATGAACAATAGTTTTTTGATAAAATATACTGCAGAAAATGATGAAGAACGTGTTGTTACCGGTAATATTTTTCTTCAGAGAATGATGAGATATTGGTAATTTTTTTATTTTTTTCAGATGCAAACTAGGACGTTGCAATCGATTATGTTTTTTAGAGAAGTGATTCGCGAATTGAGAGGATGATCAAGTATATGTTATTACCGACACTATTTTAAACTAAGCTTTTTTATTTTTCCAGATGCAAACTAGGACGTTGCAATCGATTATGTTACTGTTTTAACCAAAAAATTTTTTTATTTTTTCAGATGCAATTCATTATGTTGATCGGTAACAAAAACCTTTTTTAGATATTTCTGAACACTTTTTCTATGTTTCGATTTCTCTTAGTACAGTCTTAGTCATCATTGAGCAACTTTCTCTTTTTTTCTTTATTTTTTCAGTTCGAATTCTTGATTGAAAGAAGAAGTTTTCTACTTATTTTTCAACACATTATCGATCAACTCGATAATGACTTGTTCGAACATCACGACACGCCAACTTCACTGACCATTCATATCTATTTAAATAGACCTCCACATGATTCCAATCTAGAATTAGGTATCATAGAAAGAGACATGAGAAGACTTTTATATCATTTTCTTCCTCTTTCTATCTATGAATTGTTTGAATTGTTTACTGTTGAAATTCATTTTGAAATGAGCAATCCATATCGTGTAGAAAGAGTTCAAATTGTTGAGCGCCCTATAGTTATCTAGTTTTTTTCTTTCTTTCAGTTTGATTTCAAGATTAATTTGAAAGAAATAAAAGACCTTCTAAATACAATTCGAACCCATGTACAGATGCCTGATTATTATGCTGGTACTCGAATGTGTAACTCTGTCAGGTTAAACATATACGAACAAGGTCCTCGACTTTCACCTCTAGAGGTTGCTTCTATTCGAGAAAATTATCAAAACGTTTAAGAGTTTCTCTTACCAGAATCATTTTTTCAAGTATTTAAGCAATTTAAGGTTCGACTTTATTATAATAAACCATATTTTAATCCGTTTTATACACCCATTTTTCATTTAGTAAAGAGTGAAACGGAAGGTTACATGTTTTTCGATTCGGCATATGAATATTATAGTTATTTGTATGATTATAGTTATTTATATGGGGTTTTTGATTCACGTTAAATTGTTTTAGAACAACCTCTATTTCATGTATTTCATGTATTTCATGTAATAAAAACTGAAACAGAAGGTTACATGTTTTTCGATTCAGTAGATATTTTCGATCTATT